GTAAAAAAAAAAAATTCAATTGTTTTATGTGCCCTCAAAACTTGCAACATCTATGGTATTGTGCTGTGTGATAAAACTGAACATTTTAGAGTCGCAGGACTTGCTAATTTATGCAAAAAGATGCGACTAATAGTCCAAAAAGTTCGGTACTGTTGCAGCATGAGCTGTTGCGGGTCCCCCGAGCTGCTGCAGCTAGCTGTTGCTAGCTGTTGCTAGCTGTTGCTAGCTGTGGGTCTCAGGTCTCATCTCGGCCCACAGCTGCAGGAGGAGGACGTCTGCTTCCATCCCCAACCTGCTGACCTGTCATCAACTTTAGATCCTGTAGTTGTACAAAGTTTAGTGAGGAGTTTGTGGAGGTGAGCTGACACTTTATTTAGACGTTTCTCCTGTATTCCATGAGCACAGTGAGGTAAGAGACTTGTGGTTTGGTTCATGTGATTTTTCTTCAGGTAAGAGAAAATACAGTGGTTTGTTTGTTTGTTGTTTGGGCCTGAAGTTGGTAAGACTCCACAAAGTTAATAATTTAACTATTGTCAGTAAAATCACTGTTCCATCATATAATCTGACTTAGTGGCTGCTTGAGTGGTGCAGAAGGTGGAATCAACCATCATTAATAGCGTCCCGGTGGCTGTTTGTTGTGCTGGGGTGTGACATCACACAAACACTCCATCCAGCTGTTCCTGGCCCTGAGCTCCAGTTTTAGAACTCAGTGCGGTCCACGAGTCTGAAGGTTTGCCCACCCCTGATCTAGCCGGAACCTCTCAACCTCACACACCAGTAGCCAGCTTCTGGAGCCAAGGATCAGATCGCCAGGGTCCCCGACCTCGGCCACCACCCATCCCACATTGCACCCGACCCCTTTGGCCCCTCCCACAGGTGGTGAGCCCTTGGGAAGGGGGACTCATGTGTCCTCTTCGGGCTGTGCCCGACCGGGCTCCATGGGTGAAAGCCCGGCCACCAGGCGCTCACCAGGGCCCCACCTTGCTCCAGAGTGGGGCCCTGGTGACCCACGTCCGGGCGAGGGAAAACTGTTTCCATCCATCTTTTTCATCTCTGGGCTGACTTGTCAGGAAACATGATACGGTGCAGAAAAAGCCTTTTCTACGTAAAGTGGCAAACCAGTAAAGAATAACGAACAAAAACTATTCCTTTACGGATCTTGAATCCCTGGGAAACTCTTTTTAGAGTTGCTGGCCCTGTTTAAACTGGTCAGAACCGGGTCATAATTTCATTACAAGCCGTCTCTGAGCGGCTCAAAAACCCAGGGTCAGTCTAGATGAAATACTTACACACACGCACGCACGCACGCACACGCACGCACGCACTCTGTATGCGCGCATGATTACCAGTAGATGACCTGTTTTAAAACTCGCTGCTCAGTTATCAATAATCCAGTGCTGTACATTTCCTGCAGCTTTATTTGAGCTGCAGGAACTATTTTGTGAGAACTCTGGAGAAGATCCTGCTCCACAGCTTTCTTTGTGTGCATCATGTTTTCGCAGGCGGAGGAGGATCACCAAGCGTTCCATCAACACTCATGTTTTTCCTTCTGTCTGGTTTTATTCATCTACAGATGTTTCGAAAAAAAGCGTCTTCCTCCTTGAGAGTGAGAAGAATAACAGAAAGCTCCAAATGTAACGAAATCTTTCTTTTGTCAGTAAAAGGACGTTCAGCTCTGTCAGAAGAACCTGCTCATCAGCTCACCACCCTGACCTTTCCCTCCCCATGCTCAACTCTAAACTCAAGATAACCTCTGATTTCTGGTCACATCTGAAATTAGACCTTTAAAACCAGTAGGTGTTGGTGGTTTGGACATCTGACAGAGCTGAATGTTTGAATGCTTGTTCCTGTCCTTCTTACTCTGTGGACCTTTTCTTCTTCTATGGAATCAAAGCAAACTTTTCAAATTCTGCTTTTGGGACCTTACAAGTCTGTGCACTTATTTTAAATGTCGACAAAAGATTTCTTTAGATTCTGCAAACGATTCAACCCAAACGTTTTCAGCTCTTTTTTATTTATTTATATATATTCTTTACATTTTTACACGTTTCACTATGATTCTTTAGAAATCTGCTCTCCAGTGGGACTGAAGGACGACACGGACCAGAAAGTAATTAATTTAATTTGTAATTAGTAACGGCAGATGAGCCTCTGACGATCATGACAGTGTTATTGTTGCCGTAGCAACATGTTTTACTCCAGTTGGTCTGTGATCAGTCTTCCAAACTAAACTCGGAGTTGAGCCATTGCCCACGAGCGTGCCGTCCTTAGTCAGTGCACTTTGTGAGAATAAAATGCACTGACCATTTATGAACATGACACATTCAATTTTAAAAAAAAATGTTTGTGAAAGTGGGCCAGTTGGTCGAGAAGGTCGCTGGTTCAAATCCCATCCCAGGACCTTCCTGGGTGGAGTTTGCATGTTCTCTCCGTGCTGCGTGGGTTTTCTCCAGTTTCCTCCCACAGACCAGAAACATGCATGTTAGGCTGATGGTGACTCTGAACTGTCCCCAGGTGAGAGAGGGAATGGTTGTTTGTCTCTATGTGTCCCTGTGATGGACTGAAGACATGTCCAGGTGTCCCCTGCTTCTCCCACAGTGTCGGCTGGATATGGACACCAGTGACCCTCACGACCTGCAAAGGAAGAATTGGGACAAGATGGATGGATGTTTTTAAAGCCTGATTAGCTGTTAACCAGTCACATCAATTCAGTTTAGTTTATTAATTAAAAGCCAATTTACAATTCATTTTAATCACAAATCATTCACACATCTATCAAGAAAAGCCCAGTCAACACTAAGATGCATTGGCGCCGAGGTAAAACCACCCACAGGAAGTGAAAGTTTGTCAAGTCAGTCGCTGCTGCAGCAGATCTGCATTTCTGTTCCCAGTCCGAGTTAAATCACTGTCGAAGCTCCTGAAGCTAAACGTCTTCACTGCTTCCTTCACTGCTTCCTTCACTGCTTCCTTCACTGCTTCCTTCACTGCTTCCTTCACTGCTTCCTTCCTCTGCTTCCTTCACTGCTTCCTTCC